TAATAGGTCACCATACTCGTTTGCGAGAAAATGACGATTTACCTCTATGGCGAGGTCCAGCTGTAAAGAAAAAGCCGCCATTTTTTGATGCGCGCGCGCTAATCACGCGTGAAGTTATGCGCAGTAGGGATGCGCAATGCAATACTGGGGAATAACCTTATTAACATCTCTGTTCCCGCTGATGTTTTTCAAGGGTCTAAAAAAGGTTGAGGTCCAGGTGGCAGAGGTCAAGTTACTTGCCAAGTTACGTATAAATAAAAACAGCCTCGGATTGGCAGCTGAAGCATATTGAAAATCAACTAAACAGTGTTGGTTTGTATTTTGTTACAAATTAACACAATAGTACGCGTTTGGCATAAATTAGCACGGAATAACGAAGTTTACATGCTAGATGTAGGTCAAAAGGTCAAATAAGAAACCCAGCACCGCAAATAGTGTTATTTCACCGAACACCGCAGCATGAAAAACACAAACATCGCACACCGTAGGGTTTGAGATCACCGCAACACCGCCAGGCTGGATTTTATTCACCGCATCACCGAATTGAAACAAACATCAACACCGCAACACCGCAGATCCCTATGTCCCCCTCTTATCATTGTGTCTAGAGAGCTTCATGATAACAGAAGAGAGCAAGCGTCTTTTGAATAAACTCCCATTCAATGGTATCAAATGCCTTTTTGACGTCAAGTTGGAGTAATATCCCACATCGTTGGTCGCGGCTTCAGGAATACTTTTTCCCCTGGGGCAAATGGTTTCAGCGGGCCTGATACCCTCTTATCGAAATGGGCTTTTGATCGGACTCACCTCTCCTCGAAGTTTCTCATTACAACCTGCCGTGTTGCGGCTTGTGGGAGGAGCTGGCTTGTTGCTGTTGGGATGACGTCTCGAAGTCTACGAAGCGAGATTTCTTCAGAATATTTTTCGCAATCTTGACTGCAGATATTGCTTTTCCATTTCCTCCACTGTGATAAGGGGATGATTTAATACTGGTGCAAAACGTGCGTATTCGTGGCTAACAAACTGCGGACCGTTATCTGTTACGTGTTCGTCGGAAATGCCGTGACGTGCGAAATTTCTCTACATGGCTCGTAAGACTGCAACGGCTGTTGTGTTTCTTAAAGGCTCAAGCTCGATATAGTCACTCTAATGGTCCGCAAGCACAAGGTAATTACTGCCAATTAGTTGAAACAGATCTGCACTCACTCTTTCCCACGGCCGCGATGGCATGGCATGCGACTGCATGGGTTCCTGGGGCCGCTCACATAGGTATTGAGAACACACGCCACATGAGGAGCATGTTTGCCTAATCGCTGCCTGCATTCCTGGCCCGTAAACGGATTCCCGGGCTCTTCGTATGCTACTACCTGCGCCTCGGTGTGCTTTGTGTATCTTCTATGAGAGCTCAGGTCGGAGTGATGCGGGAACGATGACTGATTAGATTTGAAAAACAGTCCCATTAGGCTCTGATTTCATCTGGTTCTTCACTCTTTTGGGATTGCCAGCCACCAAGCACCACTTTTTTCAGTGTCATTAAGGATGGGTTTTTCCCAGTTTCCTCTCTGATCTGATTCATTGTACCGGGTTTGATAAGGTTTGGTGACAGGTCCATCTGTGTGAGATCCACGCGAAATACAGCGTGCTCTTGCGTCATTCTGGAGCAGGACTGGGGTCCATCACTGAGAGGTGCGCGAGACAGAGTGTCGGCCACGAAGAGCTCTTTTCCTTTCTTCTACTGAACAGTGAAGTGATAGTTGTGCAATCTCAACATCATTCTCTGAAGCCTGAGTGGAGCTCTACTCAAAGGTTTCTTAAAAATGGTCTCTAGAGGCTGATGATCAGAGTGGACCGTTATGTCATGCTTTCCATATAGGTAATGGTGCTATTTCTCCATGCACGACACAATCGCCAAGCACTCTTTCTCGATGTGAGGATAATTTTTTTCTGTAGCGCTAAGGGTGTGTGATGTGAAGCAGTCAGGATGGCCGTCCTGAAGTAAAACTCCGCCTATGGCGCTGTCGGATGTGTCTACTTGAAGGGTCTCAGGAAGGCTGACATCATAATAGCGCAGCGCTGTTGTGGAGACTATGAGGGTCTTGGCCGAGTTGAATGCCGCCTCGTGAACGTCAGACCAAAGAAATTCAGTGTCATTCCTAGTCAGGTCCCTCAATGGGAGGACTGTTTGGGTTTTGGCGGAACTTGGACAAGTACTGGCACATTCCTACGAAACGTTGCAAGGCGGCCATATCTGCTGGGGTTAGCATTCCTGTGATCGCAGCTTCTTTGCTTAGGCCAGGCTGCACTCCTTTGTTGGTAAGTCTGTGCCCCATAACTGAAACAAAAACAGAGCTGGACTTAAATTGAATTTTTTTCGCGGAGAGTCGAAGATCGTGTTCATTGCACTTCTCAAGTAGATGCGTAAGATTTCGGTCAAGATCAATATCGGCTTTTCCCTTAGTATCGCCACAACCATAAACACAAATGTCATCTGCTATGTTGACTACCCCATTCAATCCATCCAAAAACTCATGTTGTCGCCGCTGATATTGTTCCGGTCCTGAGGCAATACCAAAGTGCATCCCATTGTAAAAATAGCGACCATCTGGCCCCAGGAAAGTTGTTAATAGGGAAGAGTCTTCATCCGATTCAATGGTGTGAAACGCCTCAGAAACGTCAACAACGGTGAATACCTTGGCTTTTGTCAGAAGAGGTAGCCTCTCTTCGATTGTGGGTATGGTGTATTTGTGTCTTTTGATCGCCTTGTTTATGGTCTGGCTCGGATCGATGCAGATGCGAAGTTTGCCATTAGGTTTCTCTTTAACCAGCATATTGGACAGCCAATCAGTAGGTTGGGTTACATGCCTTATAATTCCTTCTTCACAGAGCCTTTTTGGTTCTTCATTGACGCTGTCTTTGCTACTGGAACGCGGCGCGTGGGAGCATGACCGGGTGTGACAGACGGATCCAAGTCGATGTGCATGGGGCTCCCAATAGGTTTCCCGCGTCCTGGTTTGAAAACGTTGGGGTAGTGCTTTAGAATGTCCTCTGAAGTTAATTTGCCGAGTGCAGGCACCTTGTGCGAGTTTCGTGTGGTCTCCTCCTCGACTGCGTTTGTCTCGTCCGCATAAATAGTCAAATACTTTAAAGCCTGTGCGTTTCGTCCACTAAGAAGTGGAGGTTTCTCGCCCGAAACATTCACCACCAGGAAGTCAGTTGAGTGCAATTTTCCCTTCCTTTCACACAAGGGTTACTTGACCTTTTGGTTTCATTGTTTGGCTTCCGTATGTGCTGATTCTGCTTTTCGTCTTGGAGATATTCACATTCGGGAATAGCTGGCTCAATACTGAACTGGGCATGGTGTTACAAGTCGACGCCGAGTCAATTTGAGCTTAAACAACTTTCGACTGTTCCCCATGGATAAGGTGTAAGTGAGCGAAGAATTTCTTTGCACCAATTGGCGCTGCCTGACAATTTACAACAAACGCCTCTTCATCAGGATCATCATCGACAAAATTCGATTGCTGTTGCAGTCTTCTATCACTTCTTATTCCTCCTCTGCATGCACGAGCAAAATGACCAATGACTCCACACTTATTGCACCGTTTTACAAACGCTGGACAATACTGTTGACGAGGACTGGGATGGTCACCGCCACACCAGAAAGAAGCCGCTGTTAAGGTGTCGGAGCTGCGGTTTTCGGAGGTCGTCTTCTTTGTGAAGTTTACCTGCTCCTGCTGGGTGCCTCGGGCGTTTTTCATTAACTGGTTTGCGAATGTGGTTGCCTCTTTGCTTTTCGCTATTTCAACGGCCTCTCGTAGAGTGACTTTTGATTTTGTTGTATCTCGATGCCTATGGCCTTTCCTCAGTTTTACGCGGAGAGGTTCAGATTTTAATCCAGCAATAAACTGATCTCTCATCAGTTCATCACCAAAATGTTCATACTCGCACTGGGCAGCTTGATTGCGAATCCTTGTCTCCGAAGACGCGATGGATTCCTCTTCATTTTGCAGCAAGCAAAGGAATTTCTGCCTTTCCCCTGAGATCCCGATGCTAGCGCCGTAATACTCTTTCAGAGCGGTGATAACCGTATGCGATTTGCTCTGATCCTGTTCAGATAATCCTAAACTGTATTTGTAGACTGCTCTGGCTGCAGGGATAACGATGCTCGATGACGTGCCATCGCTTTCTCTGGTTTCGTCCACTTCGCTGCTTCTGTTTCCTTGGACGGATCGAACCAGTTTTGCATAATACAGTAATCGATTAGGTCTTCGATATAAGCTTCCACATCCCGTTGTTTTGAACTGGGGGAAGGGAGTGTTTGAAGCGATATCACTCATCGATTTGAATCTCTTTAGCAGTAGAATTAAAAAGCAAGCCCGGCTGCCACCATGTTGACCGTTACATTTCGTGTTCAAAGTAGAATATTTAATAAAGCCTGTCCACAGATTGGTATAGCCGTTACGTGCTGATGCTTATATAAAAATTACATGTATTGTGATTGGTGGGTGCGCACATCGAAGGTGCAAATGTTGAGGTGCTAGTTACAATAGTTGTGCAACAACCTAATATTTTGGCTGATATATCTTCCCTTTATGAATCTAGTTTGCTCTGGATTGATAGGACATTTTAGTACCCTTTCTTATCTTTTGGCTATTACTTTCGACGCGATTTTGTAGCCCAAGTCTAGTAGAGTGATCCGCCGCCAATTTGCTAGGCTAGGTAGATTTGAAGCCTCTTTCGGTATAAGAGTAATAGTGCCTCTGCGCTGAGATATTGACATTTGTGCTTCTCTATAAGCCGCACTATAGCAATTGATTAGATCCTCACTCAATAAGTCGATAAAACAATTGTAGAATTTCCAGTTAAAACCGTCCTCACCGGGCGATTGTCCGCTGGAAAAGGTTTTAAAAACTTCTTTACATTCCTCTAAAGTAATTTCACCTTCTAGCTCCTCTTTTTCTAAGTCCTGCAGCTTTGGTATTTTTAAGTTGTGGACAAAATTTTCATACCGGTCATCTTCAATATCCCAAGTAGAAGTATACCCTGGGTGCCAGAGGTTTCTCTTGCACGGTTTCCGGTGTCGGTCATGTCTCTATTGAGACCCGCGCCTCTGGAGCAGAGCGCGATTTCTTTGACAGCAACGAGCCAATGACAAGCCAGTTTAAATCTGTCTAGTCTAGAATCTGGACTAGAAAGCTGATTGGCTCCTAACGCCCTCCCAAGGGTTTTCTAATCTAACAGACACGGTGTTTGGTTTCTAAGAATAGAGAACGTGAGCCTGCAATGTGTCGCTGGGTGACGTGATGATCGTGGCTGGCGGAGTTTGAGGTTGATGTTTGTTCACGCGCTGTAAGGTTTGTGAAAGATCAAGATCTGGTCAAAGCCATGACAAAAGTTCTCAAAACGTTCGACGGTGTCGACAACTTAAGCGCAGAGCATAGGGATGAAATTGCGAATTTTTTCGCAGCAAGGATGTTTTGACGGTTTTGCCAACGGGAATCGGGAAATCGTTGTTATTTCAAGTAATTCCTGGACTCTGTGTTGAACTACACAATGCTTCAGACGCCGGTGTACCAGACGAGCTGGAACAGCATTTTAAATACGTATCTTCATCGTTTGTAGCTTCTCCTTTCCAACAGACAAGATTCTTTTTGTAATATTGTCAGTTTAAATTTGCGACTTCGTTGACAGTCGCTTCGAATTTTTGGATCCGTCAGTAGCACGTCTTACAAAGAATACGCGGCCCGACGGACAGATTTTCGTCCTTGACAATGAAAAAGGTCGAGATTCTTTCCAAGATTTTCAGTTGTTTAGCATTTTCAGATACAAAGCTGTAATACCCACCATTACACACAACATTAGCGTCAAATAAACGGCAAGACAGCGAAGACTTCGAATTAGGAACCTTTTTCACGGGAGTATAACGTAGTTTTTACTCCCGCACAAGCCATGACCAGACCAGATCTGTCATGTCGCGCGAATGAGTTATGTCTTCACGTGCCAGTCCATTTCATTACAGTGGGAGATGCTCGCTGTGATTAGTTTAAATGTTATCCAATAAAATTGATCAAAGTTCAACGAGAACGGTGAACGAAACTGTTCTGTACCAGAGGTTTTTCTCGCGGGTTCGCCGCTCGTGCCGGCGGACTTCGGCCGCCGAAGCGAAGCGAAGTTTTTTCCGTTCGCTGCGCGCGCGAGAAACCTCTGGTACCCAGGGTAGTAGAAGTATAGAGGTCTCTATAAAAGTTTTCGATTTCTTTCATTATTTGGTCGGCTTTGTTTGGATGTTTTCCGTTCGAGAGTTCTAATTCTACTGTTTTTTCTGTTGTAATTTCTCTTTTCTAGATTAAAGAAATATTTCGTAGGTTTTTCACCCTTTTCTGTCCATCTTGTTTTGGAACGTAGCATTAAGCTCTTCGCTTTTTCCTTGTAGAATACGAGTTGTAGTTTTAGAATTTCTTTTCCGTTTATTGCATCGTTGATAAATTTAGCGTTGGCGTTGTGTTTGGCTTTGTTTTTTGAGTAGACAATTTTAAGTCCCCTTATTTCCATTTTAATAAGCTCCCACTTTAGTCTCTGATCATCCAGGGGCCCGTTTCTCGAAAGTCCCGGAAACTTTTCGGGCCCGGAAAGCCATAGCAAAATCTCGAACCT